ATTATCTCTTACTTCAACACACACCTGTTACAGTTAATGATACCTTCAGCGTCTGAATGTGAGACTCAGGCAGATATGATTAGAGCAGCAATAAGACTCAGGAGAAACAATAAACCTGCATAATACAGATACATATCTGTATGGTGGCGCAGTAGATAGCCTGAGTTCGATTCCCTGGCCAGGGCTCCTTTCTGTGTGGAGTTTGCATGTTTTCCCCATGCCTGTGTGGGTTTTCTCCCACAGTCCAAAGACATGCTGTCAGGCCAACTGGAGATGCTAAATTGCCCCTAGGTGTGAATGTGTGTGTGAGTGTATATGTCTGTGTGTCTGCCCTGTGATGGACTGGCAACCTGTCTAGGGTGTTTCCGGCCTTCTGCCCAATGACCGCTGGGATAGGTTTCAGCACCCCCTGTGACCCAGAAGGATATACTATATGGCCAAAAGTATATGGACAACTGACCATCACACCTACATGAGCTTGTTGGACATCCCATTCCAAAACCATGGGCATTCATATGGAGTTGCCCCCTTTTTGCAATTATAACAGCATCCATTCTTCTGGGAAGGTCAGGCACTGATGTTGGATGAGAGGGCCTGGCTCACATTCGACGTTCCAGTTCATCCCAACGGTGCGGAATGGGGTTGAGGTCAAGGCTCCATGCAGGCCACTGCAGTTCCTTCACATCAAGTCCTCCAGACCATGTCTTTTTGGAGCTTGATTTGTGCACAAGAGCACGGTCATGCTGGGAGAGTAAAAGGCCTTCTCCAAACTGTTGCCACAAAGTTAGAAGCATATAATTGCTAAAATGTCTAAAAAAACTAAAATGTCTTTGTATGCTGTAGCACTAACATTACCCCTCACTGGGCTCGTCCTCTTAGTTCCAAAGCCTGAAAAACACTTTACTGTTGGCACTTTGCATTCCAGGAGGTAGCGTTCTCTTGGCATTTGGCAAGCCCAGAAACATCCATCAGACTGCCAGATTATGAAATGTAATCAACGTTTAGTGCACAGTGTCTGCTAAGTTTAACAAAACATGAAATATAAAATGTGCCAAAGCTTTTGCACAGACCATATTTTGTTTTATCCCCCCTCCCCCCCAAATATTTTATATTCAGCAGATAAACAGTAATTGTGCATTAAAATGCATGTGCTCTCTGAAGAAAATGGGCATGTATGTGATCAACAAAACATGTAATTTCAGCAAACTTTTGCATATGCATTTGTGTTTCATTGATCATACGTACATAATCTTTAATACCTTTTTAAATTGCACAGCAAATGAGCATGCACTGAAATGCAGCTGGCTTCACTGGGGAAACAACTTTCTAGTTAAAGGTGGGTCATAATTACTATATAAAATTATCATTAGATCTTTTTTCCCCAACCAAAAAGTCTGTCATAAAGATTTGTGTGTTTATATATTACAGCTGCAGATTCTTTGAGCATCCAAACAAGACTTTCCATGCACTGTTTTCTCTTACCCACTAGAGAGCGCCACACTTTGCTTTAAAGGATTTCAGGAGAAAGGCTTTTCAGCTATGTTCCTGACTTGCTTGGGCCAAACAAGCCATCAAAACAACAGTATCATTTTCCAAACTGTGAAATATCTGCTCATGTTCTCCACATTATATCACATCACCTTCCTTAACATCTCAAGTCATTACATTTTGTTCTCTTTAGGACTGGATGTTGAGAGGTACTTGATAATATGCACCATGAGATGCTAACTGTCCAAAAGTATCCAGACATGCAACTCCAGATGCTGCAATGCCAGTCACAACACAACAAAAGAGAGCCATAACATAACAGAAATGTTTCTGGAAGGCTCTCAAAGCAAATAGAATATCTGTGATGGTAAATCACTGACAGAAGATAATAAGACCACAGAGACTCACAACCAGTAAGGTCATGGTTAACTTAGCTGGCTAGTTAGCTATCTGACAAGTCATAGCTGTACTACAGTAGTTATCAGTCATATCTGGTATTGCTCTTTGAAATTTTACCTATGCTTCATAGAATCTAAAAGTCTGAATGGTTCCATCCCCTATGAGTGTCCCTCAGAAACAATTGTCATTTTGATGAAAGCATTTTTATTTCGCAGTGTGTTGGGTCTTGTCGGCCACTATAAGACACCCTGAATTTAGCTACTTTAGGGTCTTCATACAGCTTGTGTACTCTCCATAGAAAACACTGCCAGTGTTCATTTGCATGGTGGAACTCCATCCAGCCCCTGGCATGAGTTGGAGTAGCGTTTGTAATCCAGAACTAATCATCCAACATCAGTACCTGACCTCACTAATGCTCTCGTGGCTGAACATAATCGAATCCTCAAAGCAGTGTTCCAACATCTAACAGCCTTCCCAGAAGAGCAGAGGCTGTTACTGCAGCAAAGGGGGCAATTAATACCCTTGATTTCAGAAGAAGCATTGGATGAGAAGCAGCAAAATATTGGATGTGAATTGTTTATTGCAATACGGCACAATATGCATGTGAAAAGGTATAGAATACAAAAGAAAATGTATAAATTAAAAAAAGAGAAGAATAGAAGTGCTTAGCAATTTGTGTCTGTATGTTGAGCACACTTCTAGGTCCTCTTGATCTTTGGGTTGCGGACGTCTTGCTTGACTCCACAACAGAAACTAATTGTATGAACTTCCCCTATTCATTTGAAAGGGGGAAGGAGAGCCTCACACTTAAGAACAGCAGAGAAATACAAGAACGCAGGCTAGAATTCACTGGGTGATTGGAGATGGATTGACTGTAATCGATAAAGGCAGCACTAAAACTCCAGAGAGCAGCGCTTCGCCAACAGAAGCTGCTCAGTAGTGCTGTTTGTAGACCTCTCTAAGATCTTTAAAACACCATCACAGGGACTTTTATCCCACATGAAGAGAGGCCTTTACCTAAATCACTGTTAAAGTCCAATTACAAGTGAAAAGGGAATACAAGATAACATTAAACCAAAATTGAAATGGCTCTGAGCTGGGATGAATGGCCATCTATAAAATAAGGGAAAAAAGCAAGCCAATTTGTACAGGTTCGAGTTGACTTTTAAGCCAAACAGACAGGAAGGCTAGTATATGGGCTAATTGGGTACTCCAATGCATAGCTAAATTAAGTTAGCATATTTTAGCTAATCTGAAGTAAAGCCACAAAGAGGCTGTAAATGTGTTTCATTCAGATTGCAGAGTCTGCTGGTGTACATCCCTTTTTAACAATAAATAATGTGTGGCCACACTTAATAAGGTGTGGGAATGAGATGAATTAAGTTGTGGCAACAATGTAGGACGTCGTTATCCTTATTATACTATACTTAATTATCTTGTTCCTACACCTTACTAAGTCATGGCTATGACTTAATTATCTCATTTCTACACCTTCCTAAGTTGTGGCCTTGGCTTAATTATCTTGTTCCTACACCTTACTAAGTTATGGCTGTAACTTAATTATGTCATTCCTGCACCTTACTAAGTCTTGACCACAACTTAATTATCCCTACGCCTTAGTAAGTCATAGCTATGACTCTTAATTGTCTCATATCTATGCCTTACTAAATCGTGGCTATGACTTAATTATCTCGTTCCTATGCCTTATAAAGCTGTGGCCACAACTTAATTGTCTTTTTCCTATGCCTTACTAAGTCACGGCTATGACTTAATTATACTGTTACTAGGCTTTACTAAGTCATGGCTATGACTTAATTATCTCGTTCCTATGCCTTACTAAGTCGTGGCTATGACTTAATTATCTCGTTCCTATGCCTTACTAAGTTGTGGCTATGCCTTAATTATCTCATTCCTATGCCTTAGTAAGCTGTGACTTAATTATCTTGCTTCTCTACCTTACTAAGTTGTGGCCATGACTTCATTATCTCATTCCTACACCTTACTAAGTCATGACTGACTCAGTGATCTCATTCCTATGCCTTTCTAAATCATGGCTGTGACTTAATTATCTCATTCCTATGCCTTACTAATTTGTGGCTGTGACTTAATTATCTCGTTCCTGTGCCTTAATAGGTCATGGCTGTGGCTTAATGGTCTTGGTCCTATGCCTTAGTAAGCTGTGACTTAATTATCTTGCTTCTCTACCTTACTAAGTTGTGGCCATTACTTAATGATCTCGTTCCTATGCCTTACCATGTAAGTGGTCATGTAAACAGCATACTCCGCCACATCTTATTCTACAAGTTTACTGGTGGGCTGCAAAGCAGAAATCTGATTATTGCCTGACTCAAGTACAACCTGGAGTTTTCCCATTATCTGATTACCCAAGCGCATATAAGCACGTTGAACAAATTACAGACAAAATCTGATTTTCTGCAGTTATAAGATTATTAAGTGCATGTTAACGCACTGATCTTGACCGTACGCCTTACTAAGGCGTGGCCCAACCTAATTATATCGTTCCTACGCCTCATTAAGTTATGGCGAAGACTTAATTATCTCATTCCCATGCCTTACTAAGTCGTTTCTATGACTTACTATCTGGTTATTACATCCTACTAAGCCATGGCCACACATTAAGATCCTGTCCCAACACCTTACTGGTCATTTTTAGTAAGAAGGATATGGAGCCCTGCGGGTGACATGGCATATATGTAAAAATAACGCATGGCCTTATTAATGTGTGGGAACGAGATTCTAATGCATGGCCACGACTTAACAAGGTGTGGGAATAAAATAATTAAGTCGTGGCCACGAGATCATGCCTTACTAATTCATGGCCATGCATTAGGATCTCGTTCCCATGCCTTACTAAGTCGTGGCCACGCATTATTTTTATTTATACAGGATGTCACCAGTAGGGCTCTGTTAAGATTAAAAGTTAGAAAAGGTTTAAAATTGCTCATAAAGTAGTTCATACACCAAAAAGGGCTAAAAAGAGTAGTTCTCGTTCTCTGTAGACCACACTGATGCCTCGCTCGCGGAAATCCTGTGTTAAAAAAAAGAAGGAAAGAAAGAGGCACAACTCGCATTTCGACGCAGGCCCTTCCATCTTCCTTTCTCTTCTTTCTTTTCTTCCTGAGAGCGGCTCGGTCACCTTGTGAAGATGTGGAGGAGCCTGGGCTGTCTCCACCCCGCCTCTCCACCCAGCTGATGCCCGCGCCCTCTCAATGCCTATACCGAGGGAGCGGAGCTGAGGAAGGGGGGAAACAAAACAGGCGAGACTGTGCGGGGGGCGAGCGCAGTGAAACATCCATGGGTGGCTGTGTGGGCAGTCACCATGATTCTTCGGGCAGTTTAAACGAGAACTCTGACGGAACCGGAGGTAGGAAACAAGTTCCACACGCATACGGTCGACATACATGAGCACGTCTGTGTTTTAAGTCGTTCATTTGGTTCCTTTTTCTCCGCTGTGCGCTGCGCTGGCTCGCTCGCTCCTTCGCCTGCTGCCCTCGTTAGTGCAGCTCGACAGCGCGGTGGGTTTTTACCGTTGCTTTCTCTGTTTACAAAAATCTGCGTGATGATTTTCAAATTTAAAATGTTTGCGAACGTTGGAGCGACCGCCGCGCTGCGCCTCCTGCTAACTTAGCTCGCTAAGCAGCCCCCCAAAACCGTACAGGGTTTGCTAGCTAGCTGGCTAGCTTAGTCGCTTCAGCTAACGCTTTTATAAAAAAAAAAAAATGTGGGTCACTGTTTTCGCACCGGAATGCAGAACATGCCGGTCTCGTCTCCATCTGCAGCAGTTCGTATCTAACGTTACTGCACAGGCCACGGTTGAACGGTTGAGGCTGTTGAAATTATGCAGCTTGGCTACATGGTTTACTTTTTTTTGTGGGGGAGGCTTGTGGTACCACAGTCAGCCTTTCAGTCAAGTAATTAACACAACTTTGTGAACTCGCAGGTATGATGCTAACGGGTTATCTTATACGTGCTCCTCTGTCCTCAGTCCCTTGAACGGCCGCCACCGGAACGCCGTTATTCACAACTTGTAGCCAGGAGTCAAATGTCGTCTCTGTTTATGCTCAGGGTTCACGTTTCAGGAGATGAATTATGTCATATTTCACTTCGCGGCCGGCGATTTTTTTCAACGAAATAGTTTCAACAAAATGTTGGAAACTTTTGTTAGCCTCCAAACAAACCCTCTGCTCTCTGCCTTTTACCCCGCACATGATATTTCCGGTGTGTGTAGTTACAGATGTTAAATGCAATGATTTTTTTGGGGGATGGGCTGGTAGGACACAAAGGAGACAGCATGGTTGCTTGAGTGAATCGAGGTAAGTTAACGTCTGCTACACAAGACGGTTCTTAAAGGGTTCTTTAGTGAAGACAGTGGTTCTACATACAATCATGAGTGCTGTATAGAACCGTTTCATGCTTAAGTGGTTCTTTGCATGGTAAAATGGTTCTTCAGATTGCTGGAGAATGTGTTGTATATGGTTCTGTGTGAAAAACCTTTTTGAAAATGGTTTTATATAGCACCAAAAAGGGTTCTTCTATGTGCTTAAAAACATGGTTCTTCAGGGGTTTTTTTTAAAGACACTGATTCTATTCAGAGCCATGAGTTCTATGTAGAGCCATTTGCATGTTCACATGGCTCCTTGCACGGTGAAGGTTTTTCAAACAGATGGAGAATGTGTTGTGTATGGTTCTGTATATCATCAGAAAGGGTTCTTATGTTGTTACGATGTCAAGCTTGGAACAAAGGAAGAACCATTTTTGGGGCTCTTCAGTTGTTACAGTAGAAATGGTTCTTTATATATCTTATGGTTCTAATTAGACCTATTTTCTTTACTAAAATCTTTACACTAGACATGCTCTTACAGTCTCACCCACAGTGAATCCATCTTGGTTCAGGCCTTCTAACATCTGGAATACTTTACCTGTGAGAGGTAGCTGTGATGGACTCCAGGCACAAAGCGTATTGTAAATATTCAGAATTTCATTTTGAATTATAATTATAAATAGATTAAAAATCTAGATAAAACTCTCAACACACCAAATGCCACTTCCTCAATTCTGAAAAAACAAAACAAACAGACCCGGTGCCATATTACAGGAACATCTTAACTCTGTTTATTCAGTTTGGACTGAAATTAGGACAGATATTATTACAGAATAACAGAGAAACAGTATTACAGAAACATTGTAACTAGGCCAAATTTCCTAAATTCTGTCCTAACTTTAAAACCACCCCAGTGGTGTCCTAACTTCTGTTTTAACTGCCTGTTTCTATTGTTTTTAGACAACTGTGACAGGCTGCATAGTTCACTACTGGCAGGGTGACGTTACATTTTTCTGTATTGCAAAACAGTGGTTTCAGTTGTGAGATGTTTATCTTTTCTACTTCGGCGTTTTAGAAATCCCAGACACAGCAGACACAAACTCCATGACCCATCTCATTACCTGCATGTGTCATTGTTGTTGAAAAGTCGTCAAATAGAATATTAACATTACAGTGATGGTGGTGAATAATGAGGAGACAGAGTTGAGTGTGTGGCTGTTTATAAATAGGAATAACGTTAGCACAGCTGGCCACAGTGCTTGGGAAACAGAAACTGAAACTGCAGAGTGGTGACACTAATGATTAGTAAGGGGCACTGTTACTTTAGTCTTAATCTTCTGTAATACGGCCCCAGGAAATTAGGCATACACGATGAAACAGGAGTCATATTGGTATTGGCGGATAATTGCTATAAAAAATTGGAGGCATTGGATGGATATTTCGATTTGTAGCAGAATGTTTAGATGATGCTATCATGCAAAAATGTGCATTTTATTCACTTTACTGCATTTGTGACGCTATAGCAGTGGTCAGCAACCCTCTTCCTGCAGATCTGCTTTCCTGAGTTTAGTTCCACCCTGAGTCTAACGCGCTGCCCTCTCTTTATCTAAAACAATGCATGATTCCGCCAATCAGGGCCTTCTGTAGAAGTTAATTAGCTGGAGCAAGTATGTCAAGTTGTGGTTGGAACTAAGGTAGATCTCCATGACCAGGGTTGGTGACCCCTGCTCTATAGAAATAAATGTTATATTTGTCTGTAGTGCTAATTCAGGTAGATTCAAGTCCCAGTTTCTAAATAATGTTTATGCATCAGCAGATATGTACATGAAAAATATCAGAAACTGGCAATGGCCCAAGGTTCGCAAATCACGTCCCAAAAAATACATCTATATGGATGTCTTGGACTGTGTGGAAATATTTGACTGGACACAGTCTGTGCTCTGTTGTGAATCAGCCGTTATGACAACTTTGGCTTGTTTTTCAGCATGAAATATCCTTGGTGATTTCTTTGGAATCTAGAAACCCTGCAGTGCCGACACACTATATTATGCCAGATGTCTGTATAAAGGTGATGGTTAAATGATCTATAAATTAAAACCAGTTCAAGTACTCAGATTTGAGAGTGTTTAATCTTAATGACGCCCAGATTCTCCTAACTGCTTACTTCATTTAGCACCACAAAAAAATCCCAAGGGAATGGTAATTAGGCCTAGTATATCACCAGTGACTGCAGGTGTTTTGGAAAGGTAACACCACTATGACACGTTGCAGGGAGAAAAATGTACTTGTATGCAGTGAGTTAGATATTCAGAGTGGAACACAATGGTAGACTGGTAATTCTGAAAGTTCTACTAGTTGGTAGTTCTATTAGTTGCTAATGCTAGGCCTGGTTCCTTTTCTGAGGATGTTAACAGACACACAGTGGACAATCCCCACATAAGATACTTTCTTTTTTTTTTTATTAACATTTCACTCATCTAATGGAGTTTAGAGTGTGTGCTAGCTGGGTCAAGTTAGCACTGACTAATGTGTCAGTTCTGAATATCTCCCTAATTTTTTTTTCTATGTTGTACCTCACCAAGGGCTGCCTCACTCAGGCCTGGTAGTGCATGGTGTTTTTGGGTGTGTATGAGGCGAAATCCGAGCCCTGGTCCATTTTGCATTATGCAGCGTTTGACTTCTGCGAGCAGACAGGCACTTCGGTCCCCATGCCAGGCCGAGGCCGAGTCGTCATGGAGATGAACGGGGAGCTTTTATCTCTTTGTAGTAGGAGTGACGTTTTGTCTCATGATTTTTTTAAGGCACCTTATAAATACTTCATTTTCTATTCACTACTGTAATATTGCATCTATACTGGTTATTAACTGAGTGGCCAGTCACTCACTCAACCCTGGTCACAGTCCAGGTACAGTTATGTACAAGCTGCCACAGAAAGAAAATTAAATTAATGAAGCTGCTTTGAATCATTGTTTATGATAGATTGACCAGCGCAGCATTTAGTCTAATCTAATGAATGAGGCCCAGAGTCATTTTCACCCTAATAGACAGCTTGCTCTCAAAAACAGAGGACTGTTCAGCTGGGAAGCTTTCAAGGCTTATGGCTGTGAAGTAATGTTACCACAGGATGTTTGTAATGTTTATGATAGAGCCACACAGCATCCAGGATGCAGCGATGGGGATTTATGCATTGTTGTCATGGCCAAACAGTTGCACGTAGCTTTGCCTGCTCACGAGAAGAAATCTGAGTGTTTATCAAAATTTGTCTCATCCATCTACCTACTTTCTGTCTTGAGTGGATTCGGTGTGTCATTAACATTGGCATTAGTAGGGGTGCACCACCTGGATTAGCTGTACAAAGAAATGTAACATTTATTTCTACTGGTTTGCAGTAAAATTAAAAAAGTGCAGATGTCTTAGCACAGTAGCCCACTGTGAACGTTCTTCTGGAGTATAATCAGTATGTCATCAATTATTGGTTTGAAATATCGGTCAAATCTGTCAAAACGTCTGTCCACTGTCTGTAATTATTTATGGCAAATATCTGATCATGCCCATAACCATGCAGGGGCAATATGACAATATGTTATTGTATTGTGAATAATTACACCATACTATGCTTTTCTGAGCATATTGTGTTTATTGTCAGTACTTACAGAACCCTAACCAACTCTAGGCTTCATTATAAAGAGAACTTAATGAGTCCTGTTTAAGTGGATTAAGTGTAGCACAGTATAAAAATACACGTGAAACAGAAATCATAGTTTTTTTTATAGTATATAGTCAAAAGTGAAAATTTTTTTAAAAATGAAAACCTATCAAACCTCAAAAAACGAAATATTGAGATGTATATTGTGTATTGTGAAATATTTTGCCATATTGCCCACCCCTAATTTAGAGTCTAAAGCCAACACATATTTACTTAATTTAGGCAGAAGGAATACAAGTACATGCTTCCACAAATGCACACTTTAAAGGAAGTGCAATTTTTCCCCCCACAGAATATGAAGGAACATTTATCAACATGTAAATTGATGTAGGATTGA